ATAAGTTTAACTAATCCACAATGGACATCAGAACGACCCGTTCTCTTTGCAGTACGAGTCGTGCTCCCTGAAGAACGAGTCATTCTCCTAGCAGAACGGGCCGTTCTCCTTATAGAACAGGCCGTTAAAGATTTGAAATTTATCCAAAATGAACCTACAACGAAAATAGATACAAGAGAAGAGCATGAGAAAACGAAAAGAGACACAAGAAGAGCATGAGAAAACAAAAACGAAAACGACAACGAAATTTACCTTATTGGAGACTTTAGAAAAAAGGAATGAAGGGAAAGATTAAAGAGGATGAGAATGGAGGGAAATATAAAGAATTTCTGACGATACTTTTAAAATCAGTTATTTAAGAACCGATTTTGTATACTACATACAAAATTGGTTCTGAAATAACCGATTTTAAAAGTAGCACTTTTAAAACCGGTCATAAAATAACCGATCTTAAAAGTACTTTTAAAATCGATTAAATTTTAACCGATCTTAAAAGTGTTCATATTATTTACAAAATTGTCACCGCGTCACTTTTAAGATCGATTACCTTATAACCGATCTTAAAACTCCAATTTTAAATCCAATTTTTGCACTAGTGTATATTGCGAAAGTTAGCTCTCCACGCCAACTTCATACCATGTAGGATAGCTATAATAGCTCCACTTTGAGATTATCCGCAACTCCAGCATCCCCGTACTATAATTTCACAAAACTTTTAATTAAGTCCCTCTACTTAATTTTTTTAATAAAGTCATTTTATTTTTTAAATTAATTTAATTGGAAAAGACTGAGTGTAAAAATATTTTATATTGTATCTAATTATAGATCATTGTGTATGATAAAAATAGTAATCTTAATAGCAATTACTTTAAAAATCATATATAGATCTTTAATTAATTGATAGTGAAATCTTTTAACATTATAACATCAAAATTAAATTCTTTTGAAAACTTGTAATTAAGTTATTAAAAACTAACACTTTCAACAATTCATCATTCATAGAGGTAGTACTAGTATTATGGTGTATTTGGAGAAGAAGAAATGATCAGGTATGGAACACACGTATCTCACTATCTCATATTGCACTTTCAACTGCTATAACAACTCTAATTAAATGAATGGTTGTAGCATCACACCAAATCAACTCCTATATCAAATTCAGTAAGGCATACAATGTGCTGGCAAAATCCTAGGGCAAGAACAGTAACATGCAACGTTGACACAGCACTTTTCACTACCTCTAAGAGTTATGGCTACGGAATGTGCATTAGAGATGATAAAGGAGCCTTTGTTGTAGCCAAAACATGTACAGGATGGCAGTATGGGTTCCCTATTGCAAGAGAAGCAGAAGCTTTGGCTATGTCGAAAGCCATGAAATGGATAGTATCTCAAAACCTCCCCCAAGTCATCATAGAATCATATTGCAAACAAATTATATAGATGACTTACAACGTACCACAATTTCCCCCAATACACTCAAAATATGATTCTATCATTCATAGATGTTGTTTGTTTCTTTCCAACCAGTCGAACTTAACAACAAAGTTCATTAGGAGACAAGCTAATCTTGTCACTCATACTTTACCTAGAGAGTCAAGATTTTTTGTTTGTTCCTGTTTTTTTACTTTTATCCCCTCATGTATTGCTCAGTTTATTTCTAATGAAATGGCTTAATTGTGTTTGTCAAAAAAAAAATTAACACTATTAAAAACATTCACGTGTTACTAATTAGCTTTTCTGATGTTTATGATCTGTCAAAGAAAGATAACTTTCGAATCTATGATTTGCATTTCTAAAATAACGAATTTGTTGATTGACTTTCATGGTCAAATTTTGTCTTTTGAGTGTCTTGTACACTAGCTAATCTATGAGGTTGGATTGGCTTGTATATTTGTCAATCTACGAAGTTGGACTTGCCGATCTTTGAGGTTGAACTCGTCAACTGATGAGGTTGGATCCTCCGTCTTATAAAAGTCAACTTGCTAATCTGGAGTTAGTCAATCATAAGGTCAAAATAGTTTATCTATAAAAAAAATAGAAGAGCGAATAGCCAATCTATGAAGTAACTTAATTCAATCTATAGCCACACAGGAAATCACGTAGAAAATAGTTACCAAAAGACAGTTACTGCTAGGACAAGGTACTCTTGCATATACCATATTGGAAAAGAGAGGAACTAACTTAATCTTCGGAGTTTCTTGTTTAGGTATCCAAACTCGCATGGAAGACCTTAGAACGGAGCATCTGTTGCATACATTCAAAGAATATCAATATACAAAGGCCTGAACGAGAAGCAAATCAAAAACAAATTAGAGTATATCCAATTCTCGGTAAGAACATGTCTACTATCATTTCACATTCCTTAAAAGGTTTTTGCAAATCTGGACACAAAAGGGACAAAAGATAGGGTAATAACCTTGAATTTGTAATCAATATAATATATCTGTTATTGGATGATTTGATAAACAACGTGTTTAAATAAAATTTTCTAAAAAAATAGAGAAAAAATAAAATAATATTTTTATAAGATAAAATGAACTTATACATAAATTAAAATTTATTTTTAAAAATTAATATGTGAGACTTTTTTCTAAATTAATTTATATATAAATTAATTTTATCTTTTATATTAAGATTTTTTTTATTTTGTTCTTATGAGAAAATTTATCCAAACAACTTCAAATTGGCATCATTCTCAACTAATTTGTTATTCTATTCTTGAGCCGAATCAAAAACCTTCTTTAAGGCCTAAAGATTTTAGATATTTTATGAGTTAATCACTTATACATTGTCGGTATAAAGTTTTTTTACACTGACAACCAATTATATCTTTTAATTGTACCATGTCACTATTAAAAGTAAATGTGTTTATAATGACATTGCACAATTAAAAGATATAATAGGTTGTCAGTGTAAAAAAACTTTACACTAGTAGTGTATAGATGATTAACTCATTTTATATTTTATTTCTTTAATTATAAAATGTCACTTATTTTTAATCTATTTTTTATTTTATAAAATTTGTGTAGAAAAAATCAATAGAAAATTGTAAAAAAAATCATTTTTTTCTTTTTCCTATGCATACTTTTAAAAACAAAAAAAAAAATTGAATAAAAATAACGTGTCACTTTTATAAGTAAATATAAAAATAAGTATTTTTCAAATCAAACAGTCCTTAAATTTTCAATGTAAAAATGTTGTATTAATGACAACCAACCTTTTTTCCTTTGCCAGAAAATTTAAAAACCACATGGCACTAACTACAAACTATCTTTTATTTATGTTTCAGGCTTAAAGTTGAAAATAAAAAAAAATATAAAAAAAAAAATCTCAAACCATACAATTCTTAAAAATTCAATGTAAAAATATTTTATTAATTACACAACCTTTTTTGCCACAACCAAAATTCTAAACCACACGGTACAAGCCATAAGCCATCTTTTTCTTTTTATTATTTTATGGTTGAGGATTCCGGTTCAACAAATTAAATTATTCATTTTTGTCTTTATCACGGGAATTTCCTAGCTTACCAAAGATCAATTTCATTGTTAATATTATAATTACTGTTTATCTGACAAATTTTCACACAGCTTTCTTCTAGATATTAATTTAGATTTATATATTAATTTACTTAGTTAGGGAAATTTTCAAACAAATATTTTTATGAAAAAGTAAATGAAAAATATAATATAAATTAAAATTCTCCCGTTAATTAAAATTTATCACATATCATAATTATTTAGTTCTTCCATCATGAACAATTAGTTAGAATCATAATTACATGAATTAAGACATCAAATTAAATAAACAATAAAATAATGTTCATGCTACTTATCTCTTAAAGCCATTATTATTCTCTCAATTCTTCTTGAATATTCTTGCAATCCATTTGACTATTTTTGAATGTTCCGAAAATAATTCTAATTATGAGATAAATTCTTCCTGTCTTTCTTTTTCTGCTTTAACGGGTAAGTATAACGATCATTAAAGCGTATTGTTTATCATTTATGTGTGTAAGACATGTTCATAGCGAGAGTGAAGATGGTGTCTACCCTTTCATGATGAATCACAATGGTTCAACTTAGTTCACGGAAAAATCGGATCTATTGAAGTCATCTTTTCATGAATAGTCACACCTTTTTACAAAGGGTTGTAATAATTTTCTCCATTATGATTTCATTCAACTATAGCTTAGATCGATCAAGTACACTCATCCTATGATATCTAATATTCATTAGTCACATTATATGTGGATATTCCAACACACCTCATACTATCATTCAACCAATGGTTTAATAAATTAATAGAAGATTAGCACTTAAAAATCAAATTTATAAAATTCAACTTATATACCCAATATTGTTAGAAGTTTTCTCACCCATTTTTTTTTCCATAAAAATAACATATATTATAGTATTATTGAAGAGTAATAGAAGCAAATTCTAAGTACTAAATCATACATGTATAATCAATATTGTTATCATATACTTAGAGATAAAAATTGGACCTAAGACAAGTCTTATAGAAAGTTCATCTATTCCTAATCTCTAGTGAAAGTCAAAAAAAAAAATAATCCATTTATAATTTTTTGTCAATTAGAGGAATGGATTAATTCAAATGATAACAAAATGCATAAACTATTAGGAGATGGATTAAATATATACAAATAATATACCACTTAATTACCTTTTTTTTTTTAGGAAATAAGAAAATTAAGTAACCCCAATTATGGGCAAAACTACAAGTATTATTAACCAAGAAAAATAATTTATGATAAAAATAAAATAAACGTAGACTAGAAAAACACATGCTAAAAAAAATTATTTATAGTTAAAAAAATACATATTTTAATTCATTTTGAGCATATAGATAGTTAATGTATAATTTATACAATTTATATACCTACCTACTTATAGATTTTAACACTTAATCAACCTTCACACCCGTATCAAACGGGGCTGAGTCAGGGCAATATATCTTGCAAAACCCGAAGAGATTTCAATAATTTCACAATTGCTTAAAATATGTATGAATGTTACACACAGATCTCAATAATAGTTTCACCATTGTTTGGAGAACATTTAAAAAGCTCAGAATCCATAATTTAATAATAAGTCTATAACCACATCCACAACAAAAGACCAGTAAAACATTCTGTCAATTACAGTATGAAAAACTCGAGAGTAAAAGCGATTCGTGACTTGGGAACAAACATAATTACAAGAAAAAAAGTAAAGCAGTTTACGAGGGATATACAACACAAGTTCACCGTTAACATATGAGAATGGCAGAGAGGCCTTGTCGCCAAGAGGAAACTCAAGAATTATAACCTTTCAGACAGAAACTTTGCCAGTAAATCAACTGGCTTAGTTGAATCAAAATTCCCACATCTCTGACGCTGATGCCTTATCTTTGTGCGAGCTAGGTAATCAACTGCAATCCAAGGAAAACTCAACATCACCATACTTCCCAAACCATTAGCCCCTTGGTTTTCTGGGGAGTTATCTTGCAGATCAAGGGATTTTTTCACCCATTTGGGATGATATGTCACCTGATACCAGGCCGAAGCTTTCTGTTCATACAACAAATGTTTTTCATCCTCACTTAATTCTCCAACATCTGAATTCAATTTCTCAAATGCGTACCTAAATTCTTTTTTCAGGGCACTGTATGAGTGCTTCAGCCTCTCCTTAAGCTCCCCTTGTTTCCTACTATTGTATTTTGGCATGGACCAGATCTGTCCAGTAACTACTTCTTCTTCTCTTTTTACTTTATATTGACCAAGTAGCCCACTTAACTGGCCATCATACGAACATTTTTTATCCCATGCATCAGCAATAAAATCAGCAGATCCTGGAATCTCGAGATCTTTATCATATGGTATATCACCAGTCACAAAGTTCAAATCGGCTGCATCAATATCTTTATCATAAGCATCTTTGATACGCCGGTAAAGTTTACCCAGTATTTTCTTTGACTTGTAAGATTGATGCTGCTCTTTCCCCATGAAATCAGGGTACAGTTTTGGTTTCAGATGAAAAGGCATGGTAACAAGCTTACCGGTCTTTGGAAAATCAACAGCAGTGGCCGCTAGCTCAGCCAAGAGTATGCATTTCTCATCCAAGGCACCATAGTCACTGGAATCAGCATGTACCACATGTGCATTGCAGATTGCACCCAAATTTTCATTTACCATGTTTCTGACAAAAAATTCTATGATGTCCTGCAGTGTGGAAGACAGAAACAACTTTAAATTGCTGACTCATTTTCACAATACATAGTCAACAACAAAAATCACACCATATCTATAATAAGACAAATTAGAGGACAATACACAGAGCATGTAAACTACGCAAGAGAACACACTCGTAATATTTCCCAATCAAATGAAATATTTCCCAATATGAAATGTTATCACTACAGGCAAGTCCCTGTAGTGAATATATCATTTGAATAACTAATCAAATGCATGGCACTATGAATAAGTCATGTGAAAAACAACGATATTGTTTTAATATTCCATGTATAACACAAAGCATACAGCTAGTTAACTAAGGAACCTACAGAATGACATTCAAAAAGCACATACCCGGGTAGTGACTTGACGAGTTTGAAGTTTGCTTTCTTGAGGGGCGTACTCCATAGGTATCCAGCTCCTCTTACTTGGTGGTATAAGATTTTCATCCCATGTGACAAAATATAGATCCCCGTCAAGGTCACTTCCAGAAGCTTCATTTGTATGGGGTCTGTCACCCTTTTGAGGGAAAACAAGACAGTCATATAAATGATGTAAATTGGGGGCATCAACTGCCTCCAAAATTCTTACATCTCCCGGATGAAGACAAGGATTTTTGGCTATAACCACAAAACCTTTAACTACATGCAGGTTCTTTGTCTCTAAAAACCTTGAACCATGCTTTGAGAAACAATTTTCAAGAGAAGGAGTTGACACTTGAACAAAGCACTGCCCTTGTTCAAGCACGCCAAACTCATCTAAGACACCCATCAACCATCGCCCAGATGATACAAAAATCCTGGACTTTTCTCTAAGTCCCCAAAGCTGTGCAGCACGTGTAGAAATTAACATACCTCTAAGATGAGGTTCTGTTTGGGGACTGAAGCCACAACTTAACATTATTGCTGCAGCATTTCCATGGTCAGCACATGATTTGGTGAGAACATCAAAAGCGATATCTGCATCCACAAGCATTTGATTTAACTTCAAAAGCATTGCTTCCTGCATTTGCCAAAATATGTCATCGGGCACTTCTAATGCTGAAAGCAATGTTATAATCTGCCTGTTAAGAAAACCGGGCTGAAACCTGGTCCAAGCACAGATCTCTAAGATAGTATGAGTAGATTGAAACTTGTTCATACTAGGCCTCAAAGAAAGCTTGACACCATCCCCTTTAGCAGGCCAAGAGGCTACAACCCCTTTACAACCGGCATATCTGATCTGGTAAGCAGAGGGTACATTGTCCAATTTCAATTTTTCTGCAACTTCCCTGGCTAGATCAGGAGTGATAATACCAATACCATCAGAGAAAACATAATTATTCCTCTCAACGTCAGGTAACATAGAGTTAACTTCAACAGCACCAACTTCAACAGTTGCATAAGTAGATGAGAAGCATTGTCCCATCCTAGCAGCACATTTTGCAACATTCCTCTGATTAAACTTGCCCATCCAATTTCGTATATCATCACATCTTATGTTCTTGTCTTCGGCAAAAAACCAAGCAGAACGATCCCTAAGTTGATTGGATGAAAAGGCTAAAAATGAATATTTTCGGCCACAAAAGTGAAATCCCTCTTCCAAGATAGTCTTCACCCTTTTATATATTTTTGTCTTCTGTGGAAAAGAGTTTGATGTGATTTCCTTCACTATAGGAGCAACATAATAGTTAAGAGCATTCATATTCATTGTCTGCATGCCTTCATCCATAAAGGCAACTCTCAAGAAACAATCTGAAACTTCTTTGAATTTTCTCAGAACCCTGTTGGACAATTCAACTTCTGGGGGTATACAATAAGCTTTTGAAGGAGTAATAACCAATCTTCTAACCTCAACAATATCATCCAACTGTTTAGAGCTCTGATAAAGTTTTGGATTTCTGAGCAACCATTCTTGGACTGTTTTTAACCTCTTAGTTGCATCAAATACTGGACGCTTGTAAGAACATAAATGCTTTAGGGCAGCCACATTGAGCTCCCTTGGTTGATTTCTCAGCAACTCAAAAAACCTATCCAACAACCTGTGCTGATTGAATATGCCTTTATGTACAATAGCATTGACTAAAAACATTATGTCAAAAGGAATGCCCTCCTGAAATTCTATGTAGAAGAACGCATCTGACATGGGCACCCCAAAATTAGGTTCATTCACTGTCCTAAGTGTCTGTTTAAGTGGAAGATCTTGCACTTGCACTCGTTGACCTTTCAGATAAAGCATGGCCTTCATCAGTTTTGCACCATGACGAGGCGGGATTGAAATTTTATAAAAAGAGCATCGACCAATGGCCCCGCTAGGTGTAAAATCAGTGGTCCTAATCCAAGGATCATCATCATCCAGCAAATCAAATGGTACTAACTCTACAATGTCATCATCGGCAGTTCTGTACCAAACCAGAGGTGAAGAAGCTAGGTGTAATAAAACAACAAGATACGATGTATCATTGTATCTCCTAATCTCATTAATGTCTCTAACCAGGAACCCCACCTGAAAATCACACTTTATCACTACTTTTTTTTCTACTCCTTTGAATAAGAATGCAGTATCTCTACTGAAACAAAGCCTGCACATGCCATCAAATGGATCCACTAGAAATTTTACTCCTTTATCAGGTCCTCTCCAAGCAACAAAAAATTCCCCTGGGCTAACCAAAGTCCCAATTTCAACAAGTACATCAGACATCTTAAAAGGAATTGTAGTTCTCCTCCTTTGGTTCAGGAAGTATGGATTTTCGGGCCCACAGCTAACCTTCAAGGGTTTATTATTCAAAAATAGATCACAACAACCTGAAGCATTCAGGGATGCAGTCACAGATGCATGAGATGCAAAATGCACAAAGGCGTGAGGCTCCACCTTCTTATAGTCATCCGATTTTTTAATCTGTGCAGTATCAATTATATTAAATTCCGGATAAGACTCCGGAGGGGTACAAGAAGTCTTCAATCGACACCTGTCTACCATTCCAATTTTAGTCTCCAAGTACTTCACAAGATCACTAGCTTTGATCTCACTATCAAATCCACCGATGCTAATCTGAGTAACCACTGAATCCTTTACACTACCTTCTAAGTCCATGTTCTCAATAGTCTGTAAATTCTAAACCACACAAATTTGCAAGAAGATTAACCTATTGAAATTGCTAGCATAAATCAATATTTGAGAACAAAAAAAAACAGTTTGGGAAAGGGAAGCCTTCAATATTAGCCAAAAATACTCATCTAAGGATGATTCAGAGAGGGGGACTTAGGAGCATTAAGAGAAGGCTAGATCACAGTATCATCAGCTCTAGAAAACTTGTTGGTTGCAAAAATATATTTAAAGATAACTCAACAAATCAGATATCAAAAATAGCAAAACTAACGAGTACAGAAAGAAGAAAGATACAGGGAGTGACACAGGAAAGTAGAGAAATGGATTCGAACTCTAAACAGGATTTTTATATACCCAGTAAATTATGAGAGCATTTCCACAGAGTGGGTTTTTTTTTTTCTTCAAAGAATTTCTATCAAGGAAAATCTTCTTCAGAGGCTGTGACCATATATCATACCCCGCCCCTTCTACATTCTTTCCTTACTCTTAAATATATGCACTAAAAAAACCAACCATACAGAAACAAATTGCACCGTGAACAGGCAACCCATGGCTTGACTATAATATGAGAACAAATTTCCCGCATATCAGTTTATGGTGCTGAGGAAGAATGAAACAATTTCACACAAATCAAAAAGAATTTGATGATAAATAAGAGAAATATTATTCAGATTATTGCAAAACAATTACTAATCAGAGGTTTCAAGTGTGTGTCTGGGTGAGCGTTTATTGATTTTGCACGAGTTTGATTTTTAAAGTGACATGATTTATGTTCGGATGTTTTTATTCTAAAAGCAAGTTAGTAGTAAAACTTGATATAAAAATTCTATTTAACGCAAAAACTACGGAAAGTTGCATCAAAATTTACCTAAAATCACGTTAATTGATATTTCAAGTAATTTTTTATGATCCAATGTGAATCCAACTCACACCAAGTAAAATGAATAAAAAAATAAACCAAGAGAGCCTAAGTTGGTTGAGCAGTTCGTGAGTGTTGTAAATCCCTTTTAACAAATTCAATTCCCATGGATAAAAAAGAATGGAAACCACGAAAAAAAGCTTCAAAACGGAAACTAGACAAGATAATATTGAATGAAATTAGGAAAGTAACAAAACAGAAATTAATTATGATATGCTGCATCAGTTTAATTGGCTAACTTGCTTTTAGTTAATTAATTAATAACAGCAATAATTTCATGCATTAAGGTCACGGTGACTCCCATATCCCAAACAAAGAGCCTAGGAGGACACCCACCAAAACCTGGAAGGAAGTAGGCATAATCATGGTGACAAATACCATAACAACTTACAGAATCAACAACAGTTCAGTGCTCAGAGGACCACTTCACGTGTTATCGGCAACCACTCTGACTCCAAAGTCCAAACCTACATCTACGATTAAAATACCCATAGAAAATCAGCAGAACTCATTTCCAAGCATTTTAGAATACCCACAATTCAAAACACAACAATCTGACGAAAACCAAAAACCTCTCATTAAATGGCAAAAGCTTACCCACTAACCGCAAGAAACCGTTTTGATCAGACGATGAAACTAATCCACACTCGCAATACCCTTGGATGAAAAATAATTGGTAAATTAAAGTTCAAATTGTATACATACTAGAAAGCGGAAGATAAAGGGAGAGAGAGAGAGTTGCAGGTTGACGGGTCAAGTATAGTGTGATTCCTTCTTCACGAAGTTTACATTTACATACACGAGAAACGACGATAGTGTGAGTGAGAGTGTGACCTTTGTCGCTATTCGCTACTTTCATTCACCTATCATGTCGCTATGGAATCAGTATCGCCATCTTAATTCGTTACTTGTTAGGGACTTAGGGTTCAGAAAAATAAATAAGAGTTCTTTATACTCTAAAATACTTTTACTACACATGTCATAGAAATTAATTTGCTATGTTATTACATTATTTAAAAACATCAAATCATCCGTGTCAAATGAATTTACAATAATAATATTTTTAATTTTTAATTTTAAAAAATAAGATTATATTAATTTTTTTATAATTATATTATTGATACAAAATATTTATCTCATCATTTAAAAAAAATTTAATCAATCACTTTTATTATTTTCGCTGACAATTGATTTAAAAATAAAAAGATGATTATTAATTTTTATTCATACTTACTCACAATTTTTTAATTTTATGGTATATGTTTTGTTATTTTTTATATTAAATTAATATTTTTCTTAAATTTTGTATTTAAAAAACTTTTAACTTCTAATGTCCTTTAATTAATATAGACTTTTTAATCCACATGTTCAATGTGTAAAAAAAATTAACATTGAATATAATTAATGTGAGGTTTGACTAAAGAGAGAAATCTAAAGAGAAGGTATCTAGTCCATGAGCTTTGTTTCTCTGATCTTTTTCTCTTCTTCTTTCTAATTCTCTTCTAAGTGGTGTTGATTGTGATTCAGGTGGTGGAAACCTCAAATCAAGCCATTGAATTCATGCGGAGCCGGTCATTCTTCTTCTACCTCGAAGTTTTTGGTTTCACTCCGTTCCAAAGCATGGAAAGTTGGAATCCTTGAGTTTGATGGTTGCATGTTATTTTTGGGACTTGAATTAAACCATTTTTGGTGCATTGTTGTTACTTCTTCCATTGCATGTTGAGTTTTTTTGAGTTTAAGATATGGAGGTCAAAAAATGGTGAAGAATAAGGTTGCTCTCTGTCATCAAAGCGTTGAGCGCTTTGGGAGGTGTTGAGAGCTTTGGGGGCCACGTGACAAAAGGGGTCCCTGGAGGCAAAGGGTTGAGTTGTTTGAAAATGACTGAGCGCTTTTGGGGCCGTGTGACAAGGGGATGTCATGAGGCAAAGGACTGAGCTGTTTTGAAATGACTAAGCGCTTTTGAAAGCACTAAGTGCTTTGGGAGGCACTGAGCAGTTTGGTGCTTTCCAAATTAGACTTTGTATCTTCATAAAAGTTGTAATCTTGGATGTTATCTTTTCAATAGCATTGGAATCACCCAAAAAAGAGGTTTAGAACTCCTATTATGACATTTTTAGTGAGCAAAGGTCAAGCTATTAGCATTTAGGCAATTTGTTGCGATTTTTACAATTTTTAACATGGTATATGAGAGAATTAGAACCTGAGTTTTTCATGAAAGTTGTAGAAAATCTTCTTGTATTTCATATGAGATAAGAATGAGCATGATAAGAGTAGTAGAACTTCTTATGCTCATTTTATGTGAAGGTTGTCGGTGTAGGACAAGTGATTTTGATAAGTTGTACGTTGATACATGTTGTATGATTGTTGATCCCGTGGCAACTGTACCAAAGTCAACTTGTAACAGTGATGAGTAAGGTCGTCTCCTCAGGGACTAGGTAGATTGATTGATTCTCAATTAATTTAGAAAAGTACAAAATAAATACATATTATATATTCACACTTGTTCAACATCTAATTCATTAAACTCAAAGTTAAAATTAATAAAACTTAAAACAAGTGACAAATATGCAAATTCAAATAAGTATTAGAGAAATTCAGATATGAGATGCTTGGGACTGGATTTCACCTACTACACCTCTTTGTAATCTTAATAAGCATACATATGTTAATCCCTCTCCTACAATATTATCTAGGATTACAATCACTCAATACTAATTCCTTAGTAAAGAGATTCTAAGTTTTCTCCTTTAAATATCAATTCCTTGCATATTTAAATAAGGGAAAACCTGCATTAAGAAAATCCTTTAAAGACTAATGATTTTAGCTCTATTCCTAGCAACTTAAACCATTAGGTGATTCATTTTAAATCATGATCTAGAAAACATTTTCCAATTGAGTTCTAAATCAAAGCTCCAAATACGAGTGATCAAAACGTAAAGGCATTAAGAACGAAAATGAATCACTAATAAGTAGAAGAGATCATAACATATATGTGAAAATCAAGAGTTACATTAAGGTGTAAGAGGTTACATCCAATCCCAAAAGGAAAAGATTAGCTACTCATTTCCATGAGAGCCAACCAACAAAAGAAGAAGAAGAAGAAGAATCTAGTAAAAATTGTCATCATTCCGCTCCCGAAACGTCGAAATCCCCACCAAAATCTTCAACTTGGATGATCTTCAAGTCTAGAGAGAAAGAGATGGTTCAGGTGTGTCGTTTCTTCCAAAGCTCCCCTCGTCTTCTTCTTTTCTCCCCCTTTTATATGTTATGATTTATAACAAGGGGTCATTTACTGCCACAAATTGTTTTAAGCTATTTCTGATTGGCTCAAGCCCTTTTTTAAATACTTCACCATGAAGGAATTGAAATGACTTAAGCCTTTCTGAAATAGCTTAAGCCTTTTTTTAAATACTTCACCCTAAAGGAACTAAAATAGCTTAAGCCTTTCTGGAATGACTTAAGCCTTTTTTTAGCAGATTGTAATCTTAATTTCTCTGGAATGGCTTAAGCCCTTCTAATATAGCTTAAGCCTTGTTGAGTTGATAGAGATAAATGTAACGACCCACCCTAGGCCGTCACATCAATAACCAACCAAAATAAAATAATATAAAATAAAGAAAATAGAGCAAAAGCCAACTACGCTAGAGTATAAATATACAATAACATATAAATTGTTTCCAAAATATATAACATAATCTTTTATAACAGAGTCATCATCCTCAGTAAAGTTATACAATAATCCAAAAAGATAATATAATTACAACGTCATGAAAACATCAAAATAAGACACCCTAGGTGCTGGTCAAGCTCTAAACCTAGCCACTTCTCAAAGCAGCTATCCAAAAGACTCCTTGCTATCCCAAAGCCTCATACCTGATCTGCTCCCCCACATAGTGAGATCATCACAGTCCACATCATGGAAATATAAGGGTTAGCACATATAAAACCAACCATAGTACATCATAATAAAATATCATTAAACAGATATTTATCCACAGTATTTATCCAGACCAACAAGTCATTTTCAAGCTAAATATAGACCAACCCAAAATATAATGTATACACGTCCATGCCAATGTATACATATTTTATGATAATAAAATAATCCATAACCAATGTATACAATCCATACCATATGTATACATATTCCATATCCAAAACAAAGTCACACCACTGTATAATCCATGATGTAACCAACACATCCAAACCAAATGTTGGCCTCAACACCATCCAAACCAAGTGTTGATACGGTGAAACATGTCAGCAACCCATGTCCCACGCCTAACCTCTCATGGAAAATATACAGTTGGATTACGTCGTCACGTAACCCTGGTGAGGCCACCTCATCCATCGGTATGACTCGGCCTAGACCCATACCGGTAGCAAATAGAATACTTAGAGGAGTACTTCAGAATCCACCTAACATCTGAAGTGGTTTATCATATAATCTTTGGAAAAGTTCCACATTGGAATCCTCACCATGGGATTCCCAAATTCCATATTTTTCCAAAGATTATATCCTGATCTCACCAAGAGATCTAATCCATACCATAACCTTACTCCTTTAAGTCCTATTTACTTTTCCAAACCACATACACATAGCATATTCCATAATTAAACATAACCATAACCATGCCAATTTGTCAATATAATAATAATATAAATAATTAAATATCCAAAACAACCATCAATTGATCCAAATTATACTATGTGAAATGAAAATCTCCACATAAAGTAGCATATTAAAATTATACTATTCCTATCATGTTCATATGTACTAGATTAATTTTATAAGCACTACCCTTACTTGGATAAACCTGAACTGAAATTCGGGCAGAACCTCCTCCTCTCTTTTCCTTAGATAAGAACCGAAACTCGGGCAGAATCTCCACCTCTCTCCTTAAACAAGGACCGAAACTCGGGCAGAATCTCCTCTACTGGATTCCTCTTTCTCTCTCCTTTTTTCTTTTCTCCTCCTCTCTCTTTCTTTCTCTCTCTCTCTCCTCTTTCTCTCTCTAGGATTCTCTTCTCTCCAGTTATAATTTTTCACCCCCCCACCTCCTATTTATAGGCAACTTGAGTTACCCAGAACGGCCGTACTGAATTCGGAATGGCCCGTTTCGAATCCTTCATATGTACGCAAATTTTTGAACTGGAACGGCCCGTTCTAAATTTGGAACGGCCCGTTCCCAAAAAGCAGAACAGCCCGTTTTAAAATCAGAACGGCCCGTTCTAAGACTTATCCAGAACGGCACGTTCTCCTTCTGGAACGACCTGTTCTCCCTCCAGAACGGCCCGTTCCAAAACCAGAATGTCCCGTTCTCCTTTTGGAACGGCCCGTTCTGGGCCCGTTCTCAATCTTTAAACTTAGTTTCTTTTTGGTGCTTGGAACGGCCCGTTCCGCTTTCGGAACAGCCCGTTCCGAGTTACCCAAACACCCTCTATCTTTAAGAAAATTTACGAAAATGCCCTTGATAAAAAAAAATTGGGTATTACAATAAACATATTTTCTTCCATGAGTCTTTTTAAACTTCATTTCTTCTCTCTGTCTTGATTTCTCTTCTCTTAACCTACAAAGCAAAACCATCATAATTAACCAAAAACTTACTATAATTTGATTCGATTGGATTTCTATAACATAATTTACATATTTATATATAATATTCACATCCTTGGGCAATTTAAAAGGGGAAAAGTGAAAGCATGCCAATTTTTACACAATAATATTCATGAAATTCAAGTAAAAATGACAACTAACAATGATGGGTGAATTTGGTGAACATGAATATAATACTTATGTCTATTGCATGTTGTAGGATGTAGGATGATGATAATAAGCATTGGTATGCTATCTTTGTGTATTTAAAATGATAATGAGCATTAATATGCTATCTTTGTGATTTTGAAATGGTGATGAACATTGATATGCTCGGTATGATTGGTATGATATTGTTGAATGAATGATGGTGCATTGATATGATATTATTGTATGAATTATTAAGCACTGGTATGTTATTCTTGGTCGAGGTATTAAGCATTTGTATGTTATACATGATTAATGTTATTGAGTTTTATATGCATTGACTAGATGTGATGTATATAGTAGATGCATGGTGAGATATGAATGCTAAGAATGTGATGTGAAATTAAAGCATGATGGCTAACTTAGGATTTGAGGAGAGAAAATTGTTTTAAAAACTGAAGATCCCACATAGGATATCTTGGAGTGGTGCTTAGGTAGGCTACTATTTGAAAAAATCCTCTTTGAGTAGATGTGTCTCTTGGAGTAAGTTTTGAGGTGTGTTGAATCTCCTCTAAGTCCTTAGTTAGTGGTTGAGTAAGGTAGGATGTCGAGGGCTACAACCCTTAACCAAATACCTCGAAAGGTTGTGTGGTTCCTTGAGAATAATTAGTGGATAGATTTCATATGTGACTTGGTAATGTATGTCAAGGTCATGGTAAGCTTATACCCAACTATATTACTCTTGATGGTGGAACTGGACTTTCATAGTGTAAATGATGAGACCCGAGCAACCAGGTGAGGGATTGGCATCCCATTTTGCTATGATCGAGTCGACACTTCGGGTGTGAAAGCGATTGAGTTGGTTCGGTAGGGTGAAAATTACTTAGACTACTCATGTTATTAGAAGATCTCCATATGTGAATGCATGACGACGCATTGATTGTTGTGTTTGCATATGATGTGTGTTGAGGTGTGTTCATGTGCATTTTGATGTCTTTTGGGACATGAGTGGGGGAGGTACATGCTTGTTTTAGATGTGATTAGCTTTCATGTATGATATATGATGTATTGTTGTATAGTATAGATTTGCCTTCTATATGTACATACTTTCGAACTCTAGCTTACCCTTTTTGTTTTCATAGTGGTTTGGACTACGATGATCATATATTGTATGAGAGCATATTATAGTTATACTAGAGGAGTTGATGTGGGCAGGTGTTGTTGACCTTTTTTATGGTGGTACTACTGATGTACCTTGTATAAGTGTATTTGATTGGCACTAAGATGTAGGATTATATACACACATATATTAATTTGGTTGTTTTACTTATATACTCATAATATGTATATGTATGGTATGATTCCTCCATTAATCATGTACGTTCTAATAACTTAACTTTAAATGTTAAAAGTAGTGATTCTACATAGTGTGGTGATCACGGTTGATCGTTACAATTAAGTATTTAAAAATTATTATCAAAATAATAATTTATAAATTAAATTAATTTTAACATTATTTTTTTACACATATTTCAACATTATTTAAAATTATAAAATTAGAAGAAAAAATATATACATTTTATTTTTGGGAAAGAAATAAAATCATTTGAGAAATAAAATAAAGTTTTCTAAAGGGTTTATAAACCGTATACTATATATATAATCATTAATCATTAATTCATGATTTTACTTCGCTTTGGCTTTGATTTTCTTTACTACAATATTGATAATTATTATATGAAAATATTAATTCACGTATTTTAGTTTTAGTCAATCTTATTAAAGAATAACAAGAATAATTTTATAGTAATAAAAATTATATAAAACATTTTATTTATATAGGATTTGTGTGCTGTAATAGAGATCAAATCGAAGTCCTATGCTTCTAATCTAACTATCTTAACTTTTTTTCTCCAACCACCAACATCCTAATGAATTATGACTAGAATATAATTAATGTTAAAGTGAATGAATATTTTCTATAAATTCACATCGCAATAATCATTAATTTTAAAGTTATTTAAAAAAAATTATTTTATACTTTCAATTAATTATTAACTATTTTATATACATTCACTTATAACAAACATTAACTATAAATCTATAATAACTATTTTAAAAATATATCTTTAAAATAAAATTGAAATTTATATAAAATTAATTAAAAATAATTAACTTAATTTTTTTTTCTAATAATTTTTTATGTTAATTAGAATTAGAATTAAAGATAATATTAAATTAAGGTCATAAAGTTTAAAAATTGTTTGGTTAACTTTTTCTTGTGGGAACACATGTTACAAGATAAAAGAAATATACTAGTAAAATATTTTTAATATTTTTATTATTAACTAAATTTATTAAAATTACTAAATTAAATCTTTGATATTATTTAATGAGTATTAGACATAATTTTATAATTTTAATAATTTTAACTAACAATAAATAATATTGCATCATATGAATAAAAATATAAATAATACTATTTTATTTATGATAAATAATTATATTATGATATAAAGTCATTTTGAATCTCATTTTTTAAAAAAAATATATTATAATTTAATTTAAAAATATAAAAAAAATGTATTAAAAAAGATAAATGTTTAAGAGAAAATTTTAAAAATAATTTTATGAAAAAATATTTTTAAAATCGTTTTCAATGCAGAAAAACTCTTAAATATATTTTGTTAGAAAATAATTCTTAAAAACATTTTAATTCATAATAATTATTTTAATTTATATAAAGAGAGAATGTCATGACAACTTAAACTTGCTAATCTCATATATTTCTTTGATTCATTAGTTTACTTTTTTTTACAACAATTTATTTTTATAAAAGTAATCAGATTTATTTAAACAATAAAGATTCTCATATGATAAATAAAAAAAAATTAAAAACTTCAAATAACAAAATTTCATAGAATCGTATCTAATAAAATTATTATTTAATTTAAAAATTCAAAAAGGTTCTATTGAAAATTAACTTGAAATTTTCAACATTTTCAAAAAAGTTGTATTCGTACTTTCTGAAATTTGTGATTTTTAGGAATCATAATTGTTTATAAGGAAAACTTTCTCTTAAGGAAATTTTGGTGGAAGATAAATTTTTTTATGCCTAGGAATCATGATTATGGGAGAATTTCAAATCCTAAGAATCATGATTCCTAAGAATAGCTAAAATATGTTTGGTTACTCATAATATTTTTGGAAATATTTATATATCATTCCTGAAAATTAAAGATTTTTATGTTTGGTTACAATAATTTATTCCTGGGTAGGTAAATACTTTTTTACAAAAATATTCTTTATTAAAATAAACTCATTAAATATATTTATTTACTCAAATCTTATTATAAATATGAAATTAAACTATTTTAAAAAGTTGAAATCTTATAGTTAAAATTATTTAAATACTAAATTCAATAAAAGAAATAAACAAAGAAAATGTTACATAATAATTAAGAAGGATAAAAATATATTATTTCATTTCATTCAAATAAAAATAAATAAATAAAAAGTGTAAACAAATAACCGTAGGAACAAAAAGAACTTTAATAATATTATTAAAATTAATAAGATCAAGAAATAATGAAATACAAGGAGGGAAAAAAGTAATAGAGATATGAGAGGGAAGGAAACGGAAGAGAAGAAGAGAAGGAGAGTGAAAGTGAGAGAGAAAGAGAGAGGGAGAGGGAGAGTGAGAGAGAGATGGAGAAAGAGAAATAGGAGAGAGAGAAAGAGGGAGTGAGAGTAAGAGAGAGAGAAATTTTATTTAAAAAAAAGATATTTTAATATTTTACATGTATTAAACTTTTTTCTTAATTTAGAAAAGTTGAATTCTCGCCTCTCATCTTAAGAATGATTTTGTGAAAAAATAAAATAAAAATGATTCTAAGAAACTATATTCCTAATAATATATTTTTAAAATAACTACTAAATATAAGAAATCAAGATTCTCAATTTAAAATTTTTAGAAAATTAAAAATATTTTTAACCTGCTGCTATGCGCTAATCCATGAAGTCATTAACATGGGAATTATTGTTTAATGCATTAGCATAGAATTATTGGATGTGAATGTGATCCATCAATAGCAAAAGTACAACATCGTGGTCCATTCACTACAGTACATTTTATGATTTGGGCATCAAGTGAATTTTGATCAATCCTAAGCAACATGGCAACTAAAGGAACATAATAGAATTATACTATTATCAGTGACAAAAGAAACCGGCGAAACCTATGCACATTGCGTGTAGAACATTAAGGATATTCCAACTTGAACATTAATATTCCGATTCCGGAACCCGAACAATAGCATTTCTTTCCCTTTATTTACTTTTAATCTAATCCACTCAACTCCACTAACATCTCCTTGTGCAAAACTGAGCAATAGAACAAGTGTTGTTTGTTCTTGACTTCTTGCCATGAAGTTCTGGAAGATCCTGAAGAGCCAGATCGAGCAGACCCTGCCCGAGTGGCGTGACCAATTCTTGTCCTACAAAGACTTGAAGAAACTGTTGAAGGTTATGTGTCCTAAAGATGCACTCACTCCACCCCGTTTGGATGCTGAAGAGCTTAACCATTTCCTTCACCTTTTGGAGCTTGAGATTGATAAGTTTAATGCTTTCTTTGTTGACAAGGAAGAAGAGTATATCATCAAGTGGAAGGTAACTGTGTCTCACAATTTCCAAATTCCCATTTTTTTTATGTTTTTTGGTTTGTGAATTTAAGAGCAATGGTTTGCGTGTTGTGTTGCAGGAGTTACAAGACAGAGTTGCCAGAGCTGTGGATTCAAACGTGGAGTTGATGTCACTAGGGAGGGAAATAGTGGATTTTCATGGGGAGATGGTTTTGTTAGAGAACTATACTGCACTCAACTACACAGGCATGTTCTAAGAGCTCATGCATGAATGCAATTGTTCCTCACTAGTGTGTTTTCATTAGGAGTGGTTGATGAGAATGTCTGAAACTATCTAACATGCTTTTTCTTATTAGTCAGAAGAAGAGTACTAATAATACATTTTGGATTAAGAATTGGGAACTACAAAACCAATGAATGAGACTAGTTAAATAAGCGGTGACATCAACAAAAGTTGGTGATTTTGAATAAATTTCGGCACATGTTCAAAAAAGTATGTAGAGAGTATATTACTAACATTTATCATGGTTGAAATCCATTTGAGTTTCACTAGTCTAGGAATAAGATCTATATATTCAGTGGAACTCGTGTATTTTATTTATCAGTAATAAAGAATGTGTTAGAAAGAGTCAAAGAAAGTACCGGTGAGTATATTGCTAGCATTTATCGGATTTTCTTTCCTTCATTTGTACACAAAGTGAGGGAAATATTCTAGATTAAGGAGTTTAATGATGAATTTTTTGCAGGTCTAGTGAAGATAATAAAGAAATATGATAAGCGAACTGGTGCACTACATCGCTTGCCTTTTATCCAAGATGTGTTGAACCAGCCTTTTTTCAAGATTGATGTGCTTAACAAGCTTGTAAAGGAGTGTGAGGTGATACTGAGTATTCTTTTCACCAATGACTGGCTTTCAATTGGTGAGGATTATGAGGAGGATGAATGTGGCTCCGTGACTGAAAATGAAAACAAAGAGACGCTGATGCATGTTCCCAGAGAACTTGCTGAAATTGAAAACATGGAGAGCACGTTCACCAAACTAACTTTATCAGCACTGCGTAGCTTGGAAGAAATTAGGGGTAGAAGCTCGACAGTAAGCATTTTCTCATTGCCTCCTCTGCATGACTAGGCTTTGCAATTGCAAGAGGATTGAACAAAAAAATAACTGCACTAGGGAATGCAACCAAATAGTTCCCCAGAATAACATGGATCTTATCGTGTTTATCTTCAAATCTACTGTAATCAATGTTTATTAGAAAAGAAATAGACACAAAATTTAGACATGATTTGTCATGTGTACGAAGGATCCATATCCATTTCCCTGTTTCACTTGTAGATTCTCATATGAAACAAAAGAAGGATGGAAAGGAAATTATGCATACTATTTGGCGATTTCTTATTGTTCAGTTTCTTAGACTCCGTTGCATTATTTTAAAATCTCATTTCTCCTGTTTTTTTCTCTACTTTCATCCTTTGTTTATCTTTGTTTTCATCCTTCTTGTTATTTGTTGCTTTGACTCGATTCACCTTTCCTTCTTTGTACAGGCATTTTCTTGTATCTTTCTCTATTTGGTTTTTCTCAGCAATCTTTGATTTTAGCATTCCTTTTTATCTCTCTTGCTGTTTCTGTCGGCTGCATTGTTATCTCACTATCCCCTCTCCCAAGTCTCAAGGTGACAACAAAAATATGAGTGTTGTGACAGCTAACCTGTTTACAAAGGGGGCAAATATAATATTGCATATTTCTGTCTATTCGTTTTTAAGCAATCACTATGGCTACATACAAGTGAACTGAGAACTACCAAATATAAAATCTAGAGTGATATTAAAGTAGTTGGAGCTATCCCTAGCTACAAACAAGGACTTGATCCCTACTGATCATAAGTGCTCAAGAAGCCACCAACAAAGCCTGCTCCATTGCAATTCCCACATAACATCTCCTTCCTACCTCTAGAAAGAGAAAAAATAATTTGTAAGATGATTGATGGAATCCAATAAGAAAAACAAACGGTTGTTTATTAAACCATTGTCAAAATTCCCTACTTCACTTTCCAGGCTATAAAAGTTGACCTTAATGGAAGGGCTTCATTGTAGTATTCGGAACAACTCAAGTTTAGTTTAAGAATGCAAACAGACTAGCAAGTAGGTTTTTGTGTATCAGATAGAGCTCATAAAAAAAATATTTAGAATAGAATGGTTTATTTAGGTACCCGCAAAGCCAACACGAGTCACCAGCTTTAAACCGTCCATCGAAAACATCAACAGAGTTCACCCCGCTACCTTTGCATTGAGAGCAGAGAACAGCTCCTGTTGATCACACATGACACAACAAAACCAAAAGTTACTAATTCTAGATACTTTCTCTTGTTTTAGTCTTCTTCAACCTACCATGTCAAAGGAACTAACATCTCTCGACAGATGTCTTTTCATACACGTAACTCGTGACTATTTGATGTGCTAACCGTTGGAAAAAAAAATAACAAGAAAAATTACTTTGCATCTACTAGCCATGTAAAGTCAGAGGCCATCTTACCATTTCCATCACAGTCAGCACAAATCACACTATTCGGTTTTGTGTTTCGGTTGCCTTTTGCAGCCTACATGAATAGAAAACTAATTAGTAAGTTAGCCAATGCAAACATAACTACCTACCTCAAATCATTATGCTCAAGGCAGCACATTTTAGACTAAAGTTATGAGCATATACAAATGTACCTTTGCAATGACAAAGCGATATTTGGTATTTAGAGGGCCATGGAACACTCCAATATGCTTTGAACTTGCATGGCTTTCTATACCAATACCTAAGCATTCTAAAGTTTGAATACAGAGATAGGTTAGCATAAAACCGGAATATCACAAGATAACACAGTGTATACAAACACAGGCACAGATAAGGCATCGCCAAGGGTGGTGACCTGGTGGTGGTGTAGTTCTAGGGGAAGTTAGGCACATGGCAGGGACCATTGGAAGATTTAGAATATACTCTAAAATTTGTTTAAGTTGGCTGAGTAATGAACAACACTTGAAGCGGTGAGGATTAGATAATGCAGTGTTGTTGTTATACACTCAAACAGTCAAACTGAGGGACAGAATAATGGATTGAGATATTGGTTTCAGATATTTTTTTTCTCTGGTAAGGATGGAGCTCAAATATGTCCAAAGCATTTCGTTATCAGGCATCATCTTCTGTCCTATAGGGCCCGCTTTGAATGCGATATGGTATCAAGCTTTAAAATTGGAAGCCTGCTTATCTTTGTTTTTCGAGGGCATCGGAGGGAACCTAGAGGTAACCGAGAAGCCCAAGTGAGCCAACACACGTAAAAACAGGTTGGGTTACTCCACTGTTATTAAATTTTTTAAAATATATTTTTACTTTTTATAATCTCACTTATTTTTATTTTTTTTACCTTATGTTTAAAATAAATTTTTTAGTTTTTATATTTAATTTTTTTTAATTCTTTATAATTTTTATAGATTAAGATATCTCTTTTAGTTTCTACATTTATAATTTTTTAATCTTTTAGTTAATGTTATTAAAAGAATTTACGTTGTCTTTTTTATTAACATGATAAATGTCAAATTTATTTTATTGAAATTATTTTAAATTAGATTTGTTAACCTTTTGTATTTTTTTTACTCCCATATATGATGCTCATTGTTAAGACAGTGTTTTTCTATTCTCATAAAATTAAACATATTTATTTTATATATATATATATATATATAAAAGAAAATTCAAATGATACCGATGTAACTTTTATTAAGTGTTACACCGCTCAATAACTTTATATTAAATGTAAATTTTGTAAATCCAACCGTTAGATCGAAAATTTATATATCTTAGATCATATATACAAAATTTTATATTAATTCAAGATGATTTGATACTTCATTCTTATAAAATAAAATTGACGTAATATATTTATTTCAAAATATACTAAAATATTTAAACAATTTAATTACCCTCAAATTGTTGTTCAATTTTAACAAAATTTGATATACACATATAAAGTGATATGAATTTTCAATCTAACGGTTGGATTTACAAAATTCACATTTAATATAAAGTTATTAAGCGGTGTAACACTTAATAAAAGTTACACCGGTGTCTTTTGAACTCTCATCATATATATATATGTGTATGTGTAAGAAAAATTTTAAAAAAATATTAAAAGATCAAATCTAAACACAAATAAATAACATAATAGACCAAACTTGTATTTTAACAAAAATATATATAATTTAAGTATATAAAATGTATATTTAAAATGGAGTTTTGAATGTTTATAATTATTATAAATGACTAACTATAAATAATAATTTTAGGATGTGTTAGACTCACAAAATTGTAACTGTATGATTATGCGGCTGCTGTGTAATTATGTTTGGAAGTTTAGATTGGAATTCGGGAGTTATGATGAATGTTTTTAAAATTAAATCGTGATTAACTTAGTTTAGAGACTAGTTTAAGATTTAATGGTTTAATCATATTAAATTAGTATTAATATAATAATAATAATTTTATTATTAACATAAAAATAATATTATATAAATATAATATTATAATTTTATAATACTGAATATTAAAATAAAATATTATTTATAAATTATCAACATTTAATATATGTGTAGAATTTTAAATCATATATAAAATATAAACTATAAAAAATAAATATATTAAAAATTATAAAACTAATATAAATTATTAAATTATATTTATGAGAGAAATTTTAAAAAATAAGTTATTCTAATTTATATTTTTTATTAAATATGTTTTTTATTTAAAAAAATTTAAATTAAATTTGAAAAATAAAAACAAAATTAATTAGACAAATTCAAGGCAATTTTGATAGATATTGGATCGATTCTACCGATTTTCTACCAGTTCGATGCATAATGATTTTCTAGTCAAATAGAACCGATTGAGGATTGGTTCATAATTAAATCAATTCGATCAGCCTATTCAATTCGATCTGATCTTCACAACAATAGTTATAATAGATCCAATTCAACTCAAAATAGCAAATATAATATTTAGATTTAGATTTGTATTGATTTTCTAGTTATAAAATGTAAATAATAAAAATAATTTGGTTTTAAATATGTTTTTAGTTCTTAAAATTTGAGATAATGTTGTTTTTGATTCTCAAAATTTAAAATTATCTTTTTAATCCTCTAATTTCATATTATTCTACTTTTAGTCCTTAATCTTATACAACATTAGTAATATGTCTTACTTGCCAAATGAAATATACATCAATATTTGTAATTACTTAGTATAGTTGGCATTTACATTTTTTTATAAAATTAAATTTGTAAGAAACTATTTTTATATAATAGCATAAATTTTGCATTGTTTGAACATCGTTTTAAAATGATGTTTTCATAGTCATTATTAGTCTAAATAGTATTTTTTGTCCACGATGTTGTACTCAGGTGTGACTCTTAACAGTGTGTCAATGACTAATGACTCTCAACAAATTCACATCACCATGTTCGTGTTATGCAATAAAGAACATTTGCATTGGTGAGAAAATTCATGTTGTGCATTTTTGCACTTTATTCTTGGTTTCACAACGTTTTAAATTGATGTAATATGGCATTCATGGTGATTTCCCATCACATGGGCAAGTCTGAATTTAAACCATCGTTGCATTACGATGGTGGTAAAGTTGATGCTATCCATGGTCAAGACGTGGATACTTGGTCTTTTTATGAAGCATAAGGTATATTAAAGGAGGAGGATGATGACAAATTGTGGTGGAAACCAAAAAATGTTACTTTTAAAGGGAAATTGGAATCATTCAAGTCTAATAATGATGTTATAGAATTGAGAAATCATGCATTAAGAATAATTGTGAAATAAGAAAATATGTTGAGTACACGTTGTCAAAAGTTGAGTTGAGTGGTAGTATTTGTTAAACAATGAAGAACATGTTGTAGGTCCTTTGAATGCCTCACCAAAGCAGAAAATTGTAGCAATGGAAAAGAAAAGTACCCCAACTTAAAGAACAATCAAGGGTGCTACCAAAAAAGCTATTAGGTGAGGAAATTATTGAGCAAGTTGTTGTCAAAGAACTTATTGCTACTAAGGAACACATTATTGTCATTCATGAAGGTGAAGTAATTCAATAGAGTCAAGGGAATGCAGAGATTGGTATAATTGAACAAGGTCAAACATTGAGCAAATTGGTGTTAATTATCATATTGGTGGTAGTGAACAAGTTAGGGACAATGAATCAAATGTTGAGCAAGTTCATGTTGATGTCGGTGATGAAAGTGAGAGTGGGAGTGAGAGTGATGGTCTTTTGGTGTTGAGTCACAAGGTTCTAACTTTGACCATATACCTAATGTCCATGACAAAATCAATCAAAATGATGATGAATATAATAGTGAGGAGTTGGTTAGTGAAAGTAAAGAAAGTGATGGTGGTGAAGGTGAAAATCTATAAGCAAAACTAAAATTGTTAAGGCTAAATTCTAACACACAATTTCCTTTAGTTATGCTTTAACCATACATTGTCTAGATGCATATTTATTTCATCTGACCAAACTTCACCTAAAAAAGCTTTTGGGCATTAACGATTAAAAAAAAATAAAATATATATATATATATATATAGAGAGAGAGAGAGAGAGAGAGAGAAATATAAATAGATAGACTAAAATTTGTTGTCATTACAAAATAAAGATTAGATGGTATATAACTAACATCAAAGTGCAATTTATTGCTCATAATTACACGCTGTTCAACATATACAAAATATACACAATAATAGTGTCATTGTCTAAGACAATCCTATGACAAACCAAAATAAATCATTTCATTCTTCAAGGTTTAGGGTTTAATTTATTGACATTTTTTGAATAATTAAAGTTTAAATTCCTATGCAAAATTGTCCAAAGTGTTTGTGAATAACTTCCAAAACTCACCAAAATTATAAATTAAGCTCCAAAAAATTAAGAAAAAAATTAGGTTAAATTATATATTTAATTAATTAATTTATTTTTAGGATTTAATTTATTCATACTATTTTAAAATGGTTTAACTTAGTTCTTTAATTTTTTAAAAATATTTTATTTAACATTAGATGGGTTTTTATTTAATAAAAGACTGGACAATACATAAATAATAGTACATAATTTAACACTAATGTCAACAATGAAATCAAATAGAAAAATAATATTCTTTACCAAAAAAAAATAGAAAAATAATATTTAACATTTTTTAAAATTAAAGGATCAAATTAAATTATTTAAAATTGGTGAGATAATTTTTTTTTTAAATAAATAAATAATCTGAATTAAATAATAGTTAACAATAACTTTTCTATCTATGTGAAATATTAAAATAAGTACGCTATTTATCTTAAAATTATTTTAGGTTAAATTAAAACTATAAGTAAACAAAACGGATTTAAAAACAAATCCTAGTTTTCTTACCAGTTTTATATTTGTTTGACAAATGACAAATGCTTACCGATTCTGAAATGAGTCAACTTTTAATGAATCATTCGCTGCTTCGTTTCTCAATCAAATCAATTAAACTAGATTGTTCAATTATTTTTTTTAAAGTACTTAAATATAATTCATAAAAATAAACTTAATTATCTTGAAAAGATATTGAAAGATAACGAATTGGGTATTTAAATAAATTTAAAAAATCACAAAATTAAAAATATGTAATAAATGAAAATATCAATTATGTAAAAGAAATGTCAAATTTACCTAAATAATAATAATAGTAAACTTATTAAATAAATTACTATTCGATTTAGTGCTTTTGTTTTTTATGTGTTTAATTTATTTATTTTTATTTTTAAATAATTTAATTTGATTTTTATTTTTAAAAAAATAATAAATATCATCATCATGTTCAATTACAATAACATCATCATTATTTTTTTAAAAAATTAGTTGATTAAGTTATGGAATCTATATAAAAATAAAAATAAATAAATTAATCCAGATTATCACTAAGATCTTAAAACCCTTAAAAAAGAACCACTTCCGTGTCGTATTGTGGCTCTTGGGTCTTGGCATTGTCCCACTTGAGCATGTGTCCTCACGTAAGAGTGTCAACTGTCAACCCCTTATTTAGGTGTATCAATGAATTTAATCGACTTCAAAATAATTTAAAATTCAAATTGATAATTAGCTAATTTAATTTGTTTGATAAATAAATAAGATAAATTTGAGTTATATATATTTTAACTCGTTTGATTCATAAATTCACTATGATATATAAATATATAATTATTTTTTATTTAAATTTTATTTTTGAAAGAATTTTTAAAATTTAGTTATAAGTTAATAATAATAAAAGAAACCGATATTTTAGATTTTATGATTATATTGATTGATTTTTTTTATTTTATATAATGTAGAGTAATTTTTATTTATGTAGATTTTGATTATAACTATTTTTTTTAGTCACGTCTTATGACTTCACAGAACTAATAAAATAAATTATTTTTTATGTTTTAAAAATTAAATAAATATTTAATTTGAAATCTATTAATAAATTGTAATTTTGAAATGTATAAAATTAAAGATAATTTGATTTTTGGTTCATATGATTTGGGTTAACAAATATTTAACAAGTTTGAATCGAGTAAAATTAGAGTTGGAAAAAAAAAACATTCATGTCGAACTCAAGTTAAACTAAATATTATTGAGTCTCATTTGTAATTCTATGATACTTTAAGATATGTTTTTGGCCTTATGTTACTCAAGTGACCTAATTGGTTCACTTAAGAAAGGGATGATAGATTCAATGTCTTCAACTTAGGTCTTTATGACTTTCATTTTCTTTTCTTATTTTCCTCGTCTATATATATATATATATAAAAGACCATAAAAAATACATAGAAACAAGAAATATATATGTTTAAATAATTAAACTAACTATCTAATACTTATTTTGATCAAAATATAGCCCAAAATATAAGACATGTTTGATAATTATTTAAAATTACTCTCTCTCTCTCTCTCTATATATATATGTATATATTAATGTTTGACAATTATTAATTCTTCACGCTTAATGATTTTGGAGTGTGATTTTTTTAATAAATATATTTTAATTCACTCAAAAATTTGGTGAAGTTACTTACTTCACAAACTAAAAAGTTATTTAGGTTCATTATGGATTATATCAATAAATATAATATAAATGTTCTTATAATGAGTCAAGCTTTTACTTACAACTCTCATACCAAGGTTACAAAATTAATGTTTCAGTAAGTGGGCTGATTTGACCTAGTCCACCTTTTTAAACATTCAAACTTTTTCATCTCAACATGGTCTTTTATGAGTTGGTAGGCTAAACAGGTTGACACATCAATCCACCTAATTTAAAAAAAAATCCAATTTAAAATTAACTCCAATATAAGATAATCTTTAATCTAAAATAAAAATTGTCAAACTAAACATCATGCATACAATATTAAATTTAATTTAAAAAGTGTACAATTTTAAATAATCAAAACAAAGAATAACAAATTATTGTAATTAAAGTGATTATCCATCAATAGTAAACTTCATTGGAACTTGAGCAAATATAACAATTTCATATTGTTTAACATTAACTTTATCTTCATCTACAAAAAAAATGATACTTTATATATATATATAGCAAAAGATCAAGTGACCTAATGGTGAGTTGGGTTCATCGCGCTAATAGGGTTATAAGTGAGTCCGACCCACCATGGATTAAACCTAGGTGGACCGGATTGAAAGTGAGTTGGATTTAATTTTATGACTAATTTTAAATTTCTCAATATTTTTGGCTTGACCCTATCCAATTTTAAGATTTGTCAGATTAACTCATGAATCAAAATTCACTTTGACAACTCTAAATCATAGACTCGTATTTAAGACCTAACTTATTATCATCTTTGTTACGTATACATCTTGTTAACTTAATGCACAATATTTTAATTGATACTATACAATATTTATATCCATATCAATTATCTTAAAATGTATTAAAAAATATACATATTTCTTTTATAGATGTATGTAATATATTAAGTTTAATATATTATGTTAATATGGACTTAATTCGACATGTTCTAAATATTACATAATCTTAATTAAGTAGAATTTTATAATATTGATCCTATATTAAATTTTTATGAGATAATAATGATAAATTCATCCTAACTTATTTTATCAACATCTAAATTAAATATATTTTTAAATTAATTTTTAATATTTTATGAAAAGAATTTCTCTATGAATAACTTTGTAATATAATATAAATTTATTGTAAATTTAAAACATATTTTATATGTTTAAAAATAATTATTTATTATTTATTTATAATATATTTTATATGTTAAAAATATCCTTTATAATAAAATCAATTGAATTATAATACTAATAGAATGAATAATTAGTTGAATAAGTAAATAATAAATATTAGTAAACATTAAATGGTATAGGTATTAAATAATAAGTCCATGGAAAAAAAAAAGTAATAAAATAATAAATAAACATAAGAAGAAAAACAAGGCGGTGGCGGCTTTCTATAAAACGGCCTCGTGCCCATTAACCCTATCGTCACTCGCTCATTCACTAACTGCGACTCGCTCATCTCGTCGAGGTTTCGCTCTCTCCGTTCCTTTTCCCCCAAATTCTTTTTCATCTAACAATTTACTTTGCAGACTCTGTGAAACCCTAACTCTAACCCTAATCCCCGACATCCTATTCTTCCTCCTCAATCCTTCATCTCGCAGGTATCTCCCTCTTCCAAAACCCTAGAAATTTCCTATCTATTTCTCTCTCTAGGGCAAAACCCCAGCTCAATTTATCGACTCGATTTTTACAATATTTTGTCCGAAGGCTTGATTTAATTGACTTCGTGATTCGCAGAAAATGGGAGAAACAAAGGACGAAGCATACGAGGAAGAGCTTCTCGACTACGAGGAGGAAGAAGACAAGGCCCCCGATTCCGTCGGAGCCAAAGTCAACGGCGAAGCTACCAAGAAGTAAGTGCATCCTGTGTTGCTTGGTCAAGACACAAATCTAAGATTCTTTTTGGTTATTAATCCTTTTATCTTTCCTATTGCAGGGGATATGTTGGAATTCACAGCTCAGGATTTAGAGACTTTCTTTTGAAGCCGGAGCTGCTTCGCGCTATTGTGGACTCGGGTTTTGAGCATCCTTCCGAAGGCAAAGATCGAACTACCCCCATCTTTTATTTACAGTTGCTGCTGTTATAGGCTGTGTCTGCACTTAATTTGATGCTTTTGGGGATTTTAGAGTTGCTGATTTGTAATATGTACTGTTTTTTTTCCCTATTTTGAAATCGTTTGACGCTTTGTTTCATGTTCCGTACCATCCTTTTGGAATTTTTTGGATTTAGGGGGTTTCAACTTTAAACAGAATAGTTTTATTTATGGTGCACGTCTGTCTATTATGTCATCCTTATGTGATTTGTTATTTATGCAGGTAATACTTGTTTAACCATCTTGTTTTGGAGAAATAACATGCTTTGGTAACGCTATCAAATGAAATTAAAAGCGTCAGAAAAGGTTTATTTTACTTACCCTCGGTTCCTTCGGCCCTGTTTTATTTGCTTCATCATCAGTGCAACACGAGTGCATACCTCAAGCTATTCTCGGAATGGATGTTATTTGTCAAGCCAAGTCTGGAATGGGAAAGACTGCTGTTTTTGTTCTCTCGACTTTGCAGCAGATTGATCCTGTTCCAGGCCAAGTTTCTGCACTTATTCTGTGTCATACAAGAGAATTGGCATATCAGGTACTCATTGGCGACTTGATACATCCAAGTTATGGAACTTGGTATTTAGTTGTTTACTGATTTAAGATGTACAACCTCTTCTATGCAGATATGCCATGAGTTTGAAAGGTTTAGCACCTACTTACCCGATCTCAAGGTTGCTGTCTTTTATGGAGGGGTCAACATCAAAGTTCACAAGGATTTGCTGAAAAATGAATGTCCTCATATTGTTGTTGGAACACCGGGGAGAATACTTGCATTGACTAGGGAGAAGGACCTTTCTTTAAAGAATGTTCGACATTTCATATTGGATGAATGTGACAAGATGCTGGAATCCCTGGGTATGTTTCATGGCCGGATAGTCACTCTACTAAGTGGAATTTTGGTTTTGGGTAATTTAATTTTGTATTTATGGTATGGTTTTCGTTGTTCCTACTATGCTTTCTGCAGATATGAGGAAAGATGTTCAAGACATTTTCAAGATGACTCCTCATGACAAGCAAGTTATGATGTTCTCTGCCACGCTCAGCAAGGAAATACGTCCAGTCTGCAAGAAATTTATGCAAGATGTAATGTCTCATGGCCAGTACTACTTGAATTAGAAGTTCTTTTTCATACTGCTCACAATCCCTGAGAGTTTTCTAGATATTTAGAATGCTGTGGTTTCATCGATTTATTCTTCTGACAGGGGTTCTGTTTGTATAGTGTTTTTTTATTCATACAATTTTTTATTGAAACACTCGGTGGAGTGTGGTGGGCTTGTGGCTAGAGTTTGGGCATAGAAAGAAGTTTGGATGGGATGTGTTTTAGTAGTGGTTATGTTAGGCCATATGTACTTTTTTCCTCTATTGGTTCATGTTGGAACTTGGAAGTCTGTTTCGTCTCTAATAAATGGTGTGCATCAGGTATGGGCTTTTTGGCTAGGCTTGGTATTCATTTTCTTTAACGAAGGGTAAGGGTGTTAGGGTATTTTGGGTTTTTTCTACCAGTTTTCTTTAGGGAGTGTCAAGTTCAGTGGGGCTTTCTTGGCGTGACTAAAAAAGTTTCTGCAAGGAGAGACAAAACAGATGGACAAGAACTGTCATTCAAGGGATCTGCATCCATCATTCATTTCAATGTGGATTCATTAGCTTGAGGAAGGACGCTAATATGATTTACTGTGAAATTTGTTCCTTTCAGCCTATGGAAATTTATGTTGACGATGAGGCCAAGCTGACCCTTCATGGACTAGTGCAGGTAGGCTCTTGCAAATTTTAAATTATTAATTCCGTCCTATAAAATAATGTGATATGTGATCTGCATAGCTAACATTGATGAATGGCGTGGCAGCACTACATCAAATTAAAAGAGGAGGAGAAAAACCGAAAGTTGAATGATCTTCTGGATGCACTGGATTTTAACCAGGTTGTTATCTTTGTAAAAAGTGTTAGTAGAGCAGCCGAACTGGACAAACTACTTGTGGAGTGCAACTTTCCATCTATATGTATTCACTCGGGCATGTCCCAGGAAGAGAGGTTTGTTTAATAGATATCAATGTTTGCAGAGGAACATCAATTCCATTTGATTATTTATTGATGATTCAGTCCTTATATTTGGGTTGTTCTGTTATGTTATGTTGTTTGATCCAATCGTTTTATTTGGCTTGCTATGTTCTGTTCAGTTGGATCCTTGAGTATATATGCTCTTGCTTTGCTTTTTGCCAAGGAATGTTAGAAGAAAGTAGTAATAATGACGTGACTCTTCATTTAAGACAGTCACAAATGTGCAATATGTTGATTGTATTGAATTAGTGGAAAGCATATTATGAAATTGTTTATCTCGATTTAATTACAGTCTTCTTCATTGGGGGAGATAAATATGAGTCGCACTTTAATCCTTTTCAGTATTAACAGAACACTTATAGTGATGAATTAGATAAGAGCTTCCCAATGATATTTTTGTTTTCTCTACACCCTATCATGTTACCCACAACTTGTATTGATTCTATTGAACATCCTAGCATTGGTTTTAGTATTTTAGAAGATAAAAAGAAGTTTGAAATACCTTTTATTATCTGCTTTGAAATTTAAGATTAAATCTATTTTTTGAGGTCGCAGAATTAATAGTTGATGTTAAAAACTTGCTAATTTTTCATCTCGAGAGAGAGTGAGAAATTATAAGGGGTAGAGTGTAATATAAGCATCTCAAGAGAGGGAACTGCAATTTTCTGTCTTTTTATTTGAAGTGGAAATTTTTTTATGATACAATTAATGCCATTGTGTTTAGCTTATACACCTTGTAGTATTTACGATAATACTAGAATGAACCCAAAAAAACCCACATGGATATCTGTGGGATTGTATGCGTGTTTAGAAGTGTTAATATTACCTCGTGCTAATTATAGTTCAGTTATGTGAACATTACAGCAGTTATGTATGCATTTAGTAAACTTAAAGTAGTTTTGTGTTTAGTAACCATTTTACAGTTACATGTGTCTCCTATGTTTATGGTAATGCCACTTCCCTTATTCAGTTTGTGTGGCTTATATTGTTTACTTGTTCTTTTATTCTGGTCTCAGTGTTGCTACATATTGCAGGGAAGGATGTGATTGTGTCAACTGTTGACATTTGTGTATGATTTTCATTTGTTATTTGTAGGTTAAAGCGTTATAAAGGTTTCAAGGAGGGGCATACGAGGATTCTTGTTGCAACAGATTTGGTTGGAAGAGGGATTGACATTGAACGTGTCAATATTGTTATAAACTATGATATGCCTGATTCTGCAGACACATACTTGCACAGGGTATGATCAGATAAGACCTGTTTTGGTTTTCCACTTTCAGTCAGTTTTTTGTCACGAAAATCTTGTATCAGGTATAGGTTGACTTATGTTTTTTTGAGGGATTTTGTACAGGTTGGCCGAGCTGGAAGATTTGGCACCAAAGGCCTTGCAATCACCTTTGTTTCGTGTTCTACTGATGTCGATGTTCTCAACAATGTATGATACTTTTGTTGACATTTTCTTTATGTTGTGTACATTAGCATTTCTAATTTGTGTTCGTTGTGTTTTTCAGGTTCAATCAAGGTTTGAGGTGGATATAAAACAGCTCCCTGAGCAGATCGATACCTCTACCTATAGTATGTCATTTTTCATTTGTTGATTTTAGTTTAATATAATGGTTCAGTTAGAGACTACTAAAGTGAAGCTATAATTCAGAGTTTTAAGTTTTAACTGATTCCAATTCTGGCAAATTTGATATTGAATCAAAACCCATAAATTCCCTGTGTGTATTTTTCTTTGGGCATATAACGAATTTTAAATTGAATACAAATTATTCTAGATGCAATGATAAAATTAATTATAAATTATTAAAATGTATTTAATTATCAAGTAACAATTTAAAAATTTACTTTGTTGCATTTCATAGTTTGATAATATTGATGAGTCCATAAGATTTTATTAAGAACCTTTCAGTTCCTGGATTTGGAGTTGGCGTTTTTTACAGTTTTGGTTCATATAATCTTAAGCAAGTTATTTTTGTAATTCTATGAAAATTCAGTGTGTAAATATGATTCTTTTTTGAAATACTTTTTTCTTCTTCTAAATTTTCAATTCCACGCTTCAATTCTAGACGCTGAAAAGTTATTTAGTATCTTTCGTTTTAGATTTTTGCTTCACTTTGCATACATCAAAGAACTATTCTAAAATGCTTGAACTGTGTTTTCCTCAAGGTCCTTTAGAATATCTTTCTGAAGGATTGCTTCAATTCTAGATCCTACAAAGTTATTAAGGGATGTTTAGGATTTTTGCTTCACTTTGCATACATCAAAGAACTATTCTAAAATGCCTGAGCAGTGTTTTGCTCAAGTTCCTTTAAAATATCTTTCTGAAGCATAAACTTTATGTCAATGTTTGCACTGTATCATTGTTTTTCCTTCCAAATAATCATTTGTCAGTTGCATGTGATGTATTTTTCTGGACGTTGTGAAAATACTGATTGATTTTTTTTTATTAATATGAAATAATGACATCTCGTCAACATTAAAGAAATTGCTATTCTGACTATGTATTTGATGTGTAAGATTCTTTATCAATCTTCTGTTTTTTACTGTTGTCTTGAGATTCTGTTTTATCCCATTTGGAGAAGTTGGGTGTTCATCTTTTATTTTTGTAATTTGTGCCACTAAGTCAACATACTTCTGACTTGATCTGCATTACATTTTTTGCAGTGCCATCGTAGTAGACTGTATTGGGAGCAATCTTAACTGCTTGGTGGGCGTGAGTAATAGTGAAGCAGGGTTTGAAGGGTGCAGCGGATGATATTATTAACCTTGCTGATCCCAGAATCTGTTTACATACTAGGCTATTTTAACATTGAAGATTTATCGGTATTAGATGTATTAGCCTTTTGTATTTATGGGATTTCAATTGCTGTATTTTGTGTGGCAGCTACGCTGTTTTTATGAACGTCATTTGAGTTAGTGTTACCGCGACGTTGATACTGTTGTTGAATTCAATATTGATCTTCTTCGATTTATTAGTTTGATATTTAATTAGTAGATCTGTAGTGTAGTGTTTTATTTATTTATTATTTTTTAATATATAAGATCGGAAG